CGAGATCTGGAGCATGTTGCACAGGAGTGTCGAATACATACAGGCTTCCAGGAATGGTATCCTCGTCTTGCAGTATTTGGTCTAGTCCCTTTGGAAAGCAGGACATACCACTGTCCTTGCATACATCGAACGATTTGATGGGGCTTGTGCTCGCTAGTGCGAACCATCTGAATCGCGACTGGAGGTCACCGAGGGTGCAGCAATCAACCTGATCAGTCTCAACAAAATAGTTCATCGCTCTGAGTTCCTTCACGACAGCGTCGTGCTCCTGGTAGTAGTCGACCCTTGTAGGGGTCATTTCATTGAGTACGTGCTTGGGCTTGATCAAACTGATAAATTTCATTTGTTCTTCCGTGAATAGATCTCCTGAAGGGTGATAGCTTCCGCCATTCTCGTCGCGTAGCTGGGTATTCTTGTAACAAGGAAACGAGCATACCAGCAGATCGAACTCTACTATGTTCAGTTTGTCTTGTTCGATGTCTTCATTTACCTTGCGTATGTCATTCAGTGCTTGCGCATCTGGGAAGGTTTCCTTAGCGTGTTCAAAATTCTTCCCTACCTCAATGAATGAGACGATTTTGATGGGCATATTACTGAACCCGTCTGTGCCTTCAGTGCATAGGCCTGGACCAATGAGACAAACGCGGACTATTGTTTGTTCCTTGTTAAGCTCAGTAGTAGTATCGCAATCTTGGCCATTAATAGGTGCAGGATTTTGCGATTCGCCATGTTGCGGTTCCTCTGGCTGATTGTCTGCTTGTTGTCCAATTGCACCCATGCACAGTAGTGCGGAGCTTCCTGTCTTTGCAAGGACCTGACAGTACTTGAGTACATGCTCCTCCTGTTGAAGAGCTGTTCTAGGTATTTCAACGCCTGTCTTCAGATCGACTAGGTGACTGAAATCTTTAGGACTCGAGGTCGGAATGGTCTTGAGCCCGTTACGTTGTCGTTGTATTCTTACCCAATTAGTTAATCCTTTCATTTTGGATGGGCTTGAGACATCAGTTACTGATGCAGACTTTAGTTTCGGTACGTTCCTGTACATGAATCTGAGACACCCAGCGAGATAGTAAAGTCAGGGACAGGGAGGCATAGCCCAATGGGAGAAGGGCCAGCCAGGGAGGCTAGGTGCACTATGGTCCAGCAGGCTGACCCTATGGTCCACTCTTCGTTGCCTCTCATATTGCACTTCAGCATGCTCATTTTATCTCAGTCACGGTAGTCGGTGATCTAGGATTCCGGCTACACCTCGCGGACGCACGGCCAATCGCGGTTGGACTTGGCCAGCGGGATTCGACCAGCGCGGTCAATCC